TCCAGGACATGGGTAAATACACCTGGAAACATCTACCTACCTACCTACTCTCTCTCTCCCTATCTATCTATGTATTTCTCTCTCTCTCTCTCTCTCTCTCCCTACCTACCTACCTAGCTACCTACTCTTTCTCTCCTCTACCTACCTACTGTATTTCTCTCTCTCTCTTTCTATTTCTCTCTTTCTATCCTTCTACCTACCTACTACACCCTTTCTCTCCCTATCTCCCTACTGTATTTCTCTATTTCTCTCTATTTCTCTCTTTCTTTCTATCCCTTTACCTACCTACCTAACTACTCACTCACTCACTCTCCCTACCTACCTACTTTACTTCTCTCTCTTTCTCTCCCTCTCTATCCCTCTATCTACCTACCTACTTTTTTAAAATATCTGCCTCTTTAAATCCTTAGTGTGTCTTATACTCTGGTGCGTCTTATATTCTGAAAAATACGGTAACTTACATTTGATTAAAATAAACCTACTTCTTATTACTTTATGAAACTGAACTATTTTAAAAAAACTGAATTTAAACTAGCAACAGTTGAGGATTCAACTGAATATAGAACCAAAGGTTTCCAATTTTCACTTTGCAATTAGATCAAGAAAGGGAGGAAAAAACCTTTAAGATGGTTTAGTTTTATGTCTGAAAGAAGGCTTTATGTACAACTCTTAAATGACTGACTGAAGTGAAGCAATAAAGATTATTATCAAGAGATGAATATGATTTTAATAGTAAGAAGAAAATCCGGTAAGGTAGAGATTTAGGATTAAGGCTTTGTTTTCTATGATAATGGAAAACTAGATCCTTTACAAACTTCTGTTTTACAGATAAAAACCTCTATTCAGACAACTCTTATTCATAAATCAGTAGCCTCACAGAAGTCACCTGAAGGCTGAAGTGCTTCTAAGAATCTTTTAAAGTCCGCTGAAGATGAAATGCAGGGGAAGAAAGCTTATGCACAGCTGCCTATTTGAGGTCAAACCACATGTGTGCACAAATAAAACCACAACAAATACTTTTCTTTAGGAATATATTTGAAATGTCCGGGACAAGGAAGGGCACTTTTTAATTTTTGGAAGGAGTTTAAGCAAACAGGGTCAGAGCCCAAAGTTCAGATCTTTCATATGCCTAGCTACTTAATTGAAGTGGGGCTTCAGTTAAGTGGGGACACCCAATCCCTCTTTCTGACATTCCCCGTATCTTCCTTCAGACATATTTACTTTGTTAA